CAGGTGTGCCGCGAAGAGAGCGACGTTTTCTAAAGGAACTGCAGATTGATGATGATGAAATAAAGACAACAATGACTTGCACAGAAAAAAGTTATGGTTATTCGTCCACTTCTAGACTGCAGTCCGGTTTCAGAACCTGCGTGTTGCGTGTGCATCCGTTTAACAGAACTTACTCAATTGTATGCAGAATGATGGTTCCTTGCCTCTCATGCAGATGCACTTCGACTTCGAAGAAAGATCTTCCAATTAGTTGACTCTTACGACATGCTTTTGGGTCTCTTCTTGTTTCCCATATAATAGGGCCACGGAACCTACACGGGGAAGAAATATATTGATTTCAACGTTTACATATGCCAGTGACAGCTATAGAATCATTACAGACATGAGTCGAAAGTTATTTGTATTTTAAAAGAAATGCGTGAGGAAAATTTTGATGGGATGAATTCAAAAGGGGTGAAGAATTACAGAGAAATGTCTTGGCAACGACTGGTAACCAACAGTTATGAGACGAAGAAACTGGTACAGTCTTGGCCACAACTTGACAAGAAACGAGTGGAGAATCACCAGACAGGTACTGAAATGGGAAATAAACGGATTTGCAATAGATGAAGCCCAAAAAAGCAAAAATAAACAAAAACATTAAATTGAACGTTGATACGAGAGGGGTGCCTTGTTTGTATGGGGGAGGGTATGGCTCACCTCCCCACCCCACCCAACCGCTAAAACATTTGCAATGAGGATAAGTGGTCCCTCTAAAATATTATACTTGTATTTATGTGAATGTCAGCACAGAATAATAATAATAATTACTGTAATTATCTTTTTTAACACGAAGTATACAAAAAACTGAAAAATCTAGAGTTCGTAATAAAATGGGCGACTCAAAATAATACCTCCATGAATTTTGTTCATTTTAACCGAGTGTTCTTCTAAAACGATTTTCCGTTAAAGAGGTTTTACTACATTATTATAATCATTAGCAGTTTTTTTTTCGGGGGGAGGGGGAGGGGGGGGGGCACAAACAAGGCTTAGGCTAGTTGATCCCAGCTCTTGATTCAAACTATAAGGGGATTTCTTGGTCGCGGCGCCCAAGCTCCCACGTTTGAGCTATGAACTATCGTTTCAGGGGAAGTCACTGCCGACACCAGCATCTTCACATATCCGGAAGGGCAGTCGCATGCCAACTACAGTCATCCTGGCTTTGTGCCCACGTTCCTTGAAGACTTCGACGCCACAGAATTGGAGGCGGCCCGGTCCAAGTGTGCTTCTCCAGATAACTATACTAACGCTGCATGCATTTTTGACCTCTTGACTACCAGAGATGAAAGTTTTGCCAACAGAACCAGGAGTTCCGGTTTGGAGTCGTCTGCAGTCAAGGAAGCGTTGAGTACGTAGATATTTGATAAATTGATAAATCGGGTTATCGATGTCGGCGACCGGTTCGCCGACTGGCTGGCCAATAGATGACTTCGTCGTCCTTCGGCGCAGTATGTTGGTTTGTCTTCTTTGATCGCATCGACACTGCAAGAGTCCTTTAAAGGGCTACTTGGTGGCGAGCGATACGAAGCCATTTTATGTGGCGCACATAACATAGTCACAATTATAACCAAAAGCCCTACCTTTGGGGTTAAAGTTGAGGGCTTTATCCCATATGGCTAAGCTCTCCCCGCAGAACAGCTAGCCGCTTGCCGAGAGCATTGCACTAAGCACGAACTCTGTAGCTCCGGCTACGATCCCCATGAATCTCCGTAAACATTAAACAACGCTAACGGGAACTTTCAGAGCGCGAGGCAAACGGGCTAAACCACTTCGCCACGAAGACCCCTTCGCAAAGCAAGCCAAGGCAAGCAATCAAGTTGTTCCATCCTGGCTGAAAAGATATAAAACCGAACGAAAAGTATATCAGCAAGCTTCACAACAAGACTAATACAAATAAAACATGAACGTTGCGGCTATGGAGCCTTCATGAGCACACATATAGATCAATCAATGTCACACAAATACACAAAATCACTTAGCTTAGTATCTCGAAGCAGCATCATCATTAGATTAAAGGATCCCAATCTGGACGACACACCAACAAGTAGGATCCTCAATACCCGGTTCAACCCGAGAATAATTAAAATCATCATCTTCTTCTTAAAGTCCATGCCGTGTGGCGTTGGTAGTCATGTCTATCCACAACCTTCTGTCTCGTTTTCTTTCAATCAGTTCTTAAACAAATGATCTTTCATAACCCATGCCGTGTGGCGTTAATAGTTATGTCTATCCACAACCTTCTGCCTCGTGTTCTTACAATCATCTCTGACACAGAGTCCTATGCAGGTAAAAATCGAGTTATTTGACATGTCCAGTGTTTCTTAAAATGGACATTCACTACACATGTGGACCCAGTCTAAAATGGGAACCAGCTGGCGGTGAGAGAACCTGTAGGCGTGGACATCTTGAGCACATCACCCACCTACCCAGCCCAGAATTGTTTGAGAAATGTACCTCGACCCTCATCTTCCATACTTTGGTAGGAAGATAAGGCTCCACCCCCTCACCCCACACCCTCACCCACCCCCTTTTAAATCGTGTATAGTTCTTTTTTAAATTGTTGGTTTTATATATAAATAAAATACAAACAATCATCTCGTAGCTGGCAGGTACATTTGCAGAACGTCACTCTCATCACGGTCTGCCTAGGGAGAGAAATTTTGGTCTCTCGCCAATCTCATGTATTTTCCCATCCATAATGTGACTCATATCCTGTGCCCATCTTCGTGTTGGTCGGCCCCTGCCCCTCCTTTCTGGCACCATGCTTTCTGCTTCTATTCTTTTCAATCCGTCATGGCGCTTGATATGGCTAAAATAATTCAGTTTCCGAGACAAGATGCTGTTTATTTGACAGTCTTCCTTCATGTTCAGATTTTTTAGAATGTCAGTATTTATTTCCTTTTTTTTTTAGTCCATGATATACTGAGAATTTTTCTAACGCACTTCGGCTCAGAAGTCCCTATGTGTGAATGTAATAATATTTAAAATATATAATTATGTTTATTTGCGTTTACCAGTTGTAAACTCCAGCGGATACTTGTGGTTGTTCGTCCCCTTTTGTATTTTATTTGTGGTCCAAGACTTGAGTATGAGTGCACATCTTACAGATCTGGCTTTTTTGCATGAAGACCGTTGGTTCCTCAAATCTCAAACACATGCACTTCAACCTCAAAGGAAATGATTATCCGGTCTACGCTAACCAGGCCCCTACTATCGACCCTGTTTCTAGAATGATCGTAGAGAGGTAGAGGCAGGTCATGACCCTATGAGCCCTAGTCCTAGTGCACCGATACGTGTAGTTCAGTGCCTCTACTGCCCTAATTGTAAACTATTCTGTGGAGAGAAAACAAAAATAGGTACTTATCACGAACCTGCCTGCCCGCGTGAGTTCCTTCCCCTCCCATTCATGCCCTGGCAGTTTAGTTTAGATCAACATCATAGCACACGGGTGTAACCAATAAGTGCTCCGTTCTACTTCTAACTTATTAAGGAAAGATTAAGGAAAGTAGCAATACAAAGACATATCAGTTTACATACGCAGGAACAGTCGCACCACTGGCTATTACTCCTGCAGTTCTTCTTACTTGTACACAGGCGCCTGCGGCGCCTCAGACAGACTCGGAACAAAACAATCTCCCAGAAATATTGTATGCGGCGAACGAAAGCAGAACGAAGCTATCTTCTAACACCCCCACAACATAGACAGGCCGTGAGAACGACCACGGTATGAATGGGAGGGGAAGGAACTCTCGCGGGACGGTGACACGCGGGCGGTCGTGATAAGTACCCAAACTTACTTAGCTAGCAACTGTAATTAATTAACGTCATTACATTTCCGCTTTACTAGAAAACACTTTGCCAAGACTTAATAAACCAAACGGACTAAACACGGACAACATTTGGGAAGTTACTGAAGGCAAACTGGCAACCATTTCTGTGCAAGCAATCGATGATGATGGAGACAAAGTTCGTTACTTTCTAGTTAATGGAAGCGATCAGGGAGTCAGCATATCAGACCAAGGAGCTCTGACTTACATGCCAGATAGAAGTCGGCCGGTTCAGATTGTGTGAGTTTATCAACTGAAATTAATGTCGTTTTTCTTTAATCATTAATGGCGTCGTAATCTTTTTGTTCTTGTTCTTCTTTGTCTCTTTTTCTCCTGCTCCTCCTTTTTCTTATATTTTATGGTGTCGTAACTTCCTCCTTCTTACCTCCTGTCTTCTTCTTTTTCTCCTCCTCACCATCCTCCTCTTCCTTCTTCTTCTATTCTTCTTCTTCTTCTTCTTCTTCTTCTTCTTCTTCTTCTTCTTCTTCTTCTTCTTCTTCTTCTTCTTCTTCTTCTTCTTCTTCTTCTTCTTCTTCTTCTTCTTCTTCTTCTTCTTCTTCTTCTGTGACTAATCTTCTATCAAGACCCTCAACAAAGTCACCACAGGTGCAGTAGTAAGTCCACTATCTTCCCGTCTGAAGGTCGTGATCTCGAACCCGCATGGCAGATAGACTTTTGAGTTCCATGTCGATACGGCCTTACATGGCTACCAAGAAATATCACACAGGAAATAAAGGCAGCCAAAGCGATAGCGACTGAATCACATATATTAACTACTGGTCTATGTATCAAAATATGGAAGCTAGGGGTTTTCTGTTTTATTTTTTTATTTTAAATACTAGACACCCGCCTGCTGATCGGAAGGTTGTGGGTTCGCGTCCTGACAAAGCCGGACATTTTTTTTAAAAATGACTTTGACTCCTAGGTCGACCCAGCCTTCAGTGGGTACTAGATGTGCAGTCCTGGGAAGTAAAGGCGGCCGGTGTGGTGCTGACCACATCACATACCAAGTGCCGATTGGTATATAAAAATATAAGTCTAGCCCTATATGCCTAAAGGTGTGGAAAAGGGTCCTTGGCTTACTTTACTGTAGGAAAAAAAGTGCCGATTCTCACCACAAGGTGTCTAAAACAAAGTGCCGGTACCGCACACCGTCATAAAGAAAAGCCCTAGACCCAGTTTCTTAAACCAGTGACTATGGTAATGATCATACCCCACCCCCTTTCCCCCATTTTCCCTCCTGTTTCGCCCCCGCAGTGTACAAGCCAACGACTCCAGGGGCGGCATGTCCAACACGGAAGTCATCGCCGTCATCGTCTGCCCAAGCTGCAGCGGCAGAGGCAACTGTGACCGGACCCGACAGAACCGTTTTGAGGGCACTTTCACTGTTTACGCTTGCAATTGTTTAACTGGCTACACAGGTCAGTTTTTTCTGGCTACACAGGTCAGTTTTTTTTAGGTACACAGGTCAGTGTTTCTGGATACACAGGTCAGTTTTTTCTGGCTACACAGGTCAGTTTTTTCTGGCTACACAGGTCAGTTTTTTTTAGGTACACAGGTCAGTTTTTCTGGATACACAGGTCAGTTTTTTTATACACAGGTCAGTATTCTGGCTACACAGGTAAGCTTTTTTGGCTACACAGGTCAGTTTTTTTTGGGAGGGGGGGGGGAACACAGGTAAGTTTTTTTTTGGGGGGGGGGGGGGCATAGGTCAGGTTTTTTGGGGAGAGTGGGGGTACACAGGTCAGTTTTTCTGGGTACATAGGTCCGTTTTTCTGGCTACAAAGGTCAGGTTTTTTATGGACACTGGTAATTTTTTCTAGGTACACAAGTCAGATTTTCTGGGTACACAGGTAAGCTTTTCTGGGTACACAGGTCAGTTTTTTATGGACACTGGTCAGTTTTTCTGGGTACACAGGTCAGTTGTTCTGGGTACACTGGTCAGTTTTTCTGGGTACCATCAAGAATGCTGTCAAAGTGGGCCGTGCTGATAAACATGGATGCGGGGGGTAAGGGGGTACTTGTGGGCTTTGTTCTTTTCAGCACCCCCCCCCCGCCCCCAACCTCCAAAAAAACTTGTAGCACCTAAAGGAGGTTGAAACAGCCTTGTTATCATCTACAGCCCGGTTCATCTACACACTTCCCTTGTCTGGTCTAGGTTAGAGGGTTATCAAGTTGTACTGTTTTCTTCGAAAAGAATCTCTCGTGGGACCTAGGGTCAGGCTATGGGTGGGGGGAGGGGGTGTGGGTTAGGGCCAGATCTAGATGTTCTGGGTTCGTTTGAAACTGTGTCGTCGAATAGTATAGAACACGCGACATCGGCGCTGATGTTATTGAAGGCAAGGCAACGTGACATCCCTCTGACGTAGAATAGCCTAAGAAAGCATGAATAAAAGCTCAGCCAGAGTGAAGATGGGCCGGGAAACGTGAATAGGACCGTAAACATTTCTAAACAGCGCCCCTAGCTGGGCATCGAATACTCCTATCAGTATTTGTTTCTAAATTTATTTATTTTTTCTCCTTTCTGTAATATTATTATGTTTCTTGTCAATTTCATTAAACTGCTGAAGAGGGGAGGGGGGGGGGGGTGTAGTATAGTAGAATATTACAATTAGAAATGCTCTCAATTAGCAATTAGAAAAAAAAATTACATTTTGATTACATTTGCCTCCACAGGTGTCAACTGTGAACTACAACGGAACGAATGTGATGAGAAGCCTTGCCTGTCCGGCCAGACCTGCATTGATCTCGACCCTTCCATGAGCACAAACAGCAGCGCTATCGGCTACACCTGTGGCGACTGTCCGGTCGGATATCAAACCCTAGGTGGCCGGTGTTTTGGTGAGCTCATAGTGTGTGTGTGTGTGTGTGTGTGTGTGTGTGTGTGTGTGTGTGTGTGTGTGATGGGGGAAAGGGGGGGGGGGGTCTGGCGTGCCGACATATATGAAACATATCAGACGTATCTGGAATACCGGGCTAAACTCATATTGTATAGACCATTCGGTACTTGATGAGTGATGTGGTCAGCATCACGCCGGCTGCCTTTACTTCCCAGGATTGCACCTGGTACCCACTCAAGGCTAGGTCGACCTGGAAGCCAAGGTCATTTTTGACAAAAGTCTCACTCCATCAGGACCCGAACATCGTTAGTTTTACTTTACTGTTATCTACTTTTCTCCACGGTAATCTACCTTATTGTACTCTACTTCACTGTACTCTGGTCTTTTTTTTTTAAATTCTACTTTACTTTTCTGTAATCTACTTTATTCTACTCTACAGTACTCTGATCTTTTTACAAATTCTACTTTACTCCACTGTAATCTACTTTATTCCACTGTAATCTACTTTATTCTACTCTACTTTACTGTACTCTAGTCCTTTTTTATATTCTACTTTACTTTACTGTAATTTACTTTACACCACTGTAATCTAATGTAATTTATTCTACTTTACTCTGCTTGTATCTGCTTCACTTTACTTTACTTCACAATACTCAATTCTACTTTATATTGCTCTTCTTTATTGTACTCTACATTGCTATGGTATACTTTATTCTACTTTACCCTACGTTGTTACTTTTTTTCCCTACTTTATACATCTATATTCTATTCTACTTTACTTTACAGTACTTTACATTTACTCTCATTTGCTTTATTTTACTGTACATCAGTCTGCTATTGTATGCTGTATCCCTATCTTTTTACTCTGCTCTACTTTACTCTACTTCACTATACTTTTGTTTTCTACTTTTCTTTACTATACTTTTTTTTTCTACTTTTCTTTACTCTACTTTTGTTTTCTACTTTTCTTTACTCTACTTTTCTTTTCTACTTTTCTTTACTCTACTTGTGTTTTCTACTTTTCATTACTCTACTTTTCTTTTCTACTTTTCTTTACTCTTCTTTTGTTTTCTACAGTTCTTTACTTTTGTTTCCTACTTTTGCGAGACCCAGTTACCAGCAACAACAAAAAACAAAAGATAACACCAAACCTCCTTTATTGCAGACGTCAACGAATGCAACAACACCAACCTGTGTAACCACAACTGCAGTAACACCGAGGGCTCCTTCTTCTGCCACTGTAGAGCCGGCTACCGCCTCGACCCCAAAGACAAACGAACCTGCCTGGGTCGGTAGTCACTTTGTTATATACTTTTGAAAAAAGGGCCCTTTTCCACGCTTTCTGACGTATTGGGCATATAGGGCTAGACCTATATTTTATAACCCAATCAATGCACTCGGTGGGTGGTCAACAGGTGCTTGTATGTGTCTGTGTGAGCATGAGTGCATGAATGTATGTGAATGAGGGTGTATGTATGTATGTATGTATGTATGTATGTATGTATGTATGTATGTATGTATGTACGTATGTACGTATGTACGTATGTACGTATGTACGTATGTACGTATGTATGTATGTATGTATGTATGTATGTATGTATGTATGTATGTATGTATGTATGTATGTATGTATGTATGTATGTATGTATGTATGTATGTATGTATGTATGTATGTATGTATGTATGTATGTATGTATGTATGTATGTATGTATGTATGTATGTATGTATGTATGTATGTATGTATGTATGTATGTATGTGTGCGTGCGTGTGTGTGCGTGCGTGCGTGCGTGCGTGCATGCGTGCGTGCGTGTGTGTGTGTGTGTGTTTGTGTGTGTGTGTATATATGTATGTGTGTATGTGTGTGTATGTGTGTGTGTATGTGTGAGTGTGAGTGTGTGCGTGTGTGTGTGAGTGTGTTTGAGTGTGTGTGAGTGTGTGTGAGTGTGTGTGAGTATGTGTGAGTGTGTGTGAGTGTGTGTGAGTATGTGTGTGAGTGTGTGTGTGTGAGTGTGTGTGTGTGTGTGTGTGTGTTTGTATGAGTGTGTGTTTGTATGTATGTATGTATGTATGTATGTATGTATGTATGTATGTATGTATGTATGTATGAATGTATGAATGTATGAATGTATGAATGTATGTATGTATGTATGTATGTCTGTCTGTCTGTCTGTCTGTCTGTCTGTCTGTCTGTCTGTCTGTCTGTCTGTCTGTCTGTCTGTCTGTCTGTCTGTCTGTCTGTCTGTCTGTCTGCCTGTCTGCCTGTCTGCCTGTCTGTCTGTCTGTCTGTCTGTCTGTCTGTCTGTCTGTCTGTCTGTCTGTCTGTCTGTCTGTCTGTCTGTCTGTCTGTCTGTCTGTCTGTCTGTCTGTCTGTCTGTCTCTGTGTGTGTGTGTGTGTGTGTGCGTATGTACGTATGTGTGTACGTGTGTATGTGTGTATGTGTGTATGTATGTACGTATGTACGTATGTATGTATGTATGTATGTATGTATGTATGTATGTATGTATGTATGTATGTATGTATGTATGTATGTATGTATGTATGTATCTATGTATGTATGTATGTATGTATGTATGTATGTATGTATGTATGTATGTATGTATGTATGTATGTATGTATGTATGTATGTATGTATGTATGTATGTATGTATGTATGTATGTATGTATGTATGTATGTATGTATGTATGTATGTATGTATGTATGTATGTATGTATGTATGTATGTATGTATGTATGTATGTATGTATGTATGTATGTATGTATGTGTGAGTGCGTGTGTGTGCGTGCGTGCGTGCGTGCGTGCATGCGTGTGTGTGTGTGTGTGTGTTTGTGTGTGTGTGTATATATGTATGTGTGTATGTGTGTGTATGTGTGTGTATGTGTGAGTGTGAGTGTGTGCGTGTGTGTGTGAGTGTGTTTGAGTGTGTGTGAGTGTGTGTGAGTGTGTGTGAGTATGTGTGAGTGTGTGTGAGTGTGTGTGTGTGAGTGTGTGAGTGTGTGTGTGTGTGTGTTTGTTTGTATGAGTGTGTGTTTGTATGTATGTATGAATGTATGTATGTATGTATGTATGTGTATGTGTGTATGTATTTATGTATGTATTATGTACGTATGTATGTATGTTTGCATGTATGTATATATGTATGTATTTATGTATGTATTTGGGTGGGTGTGCTTGGGTCTGTGAATGTATGGGCATATAAGATTGTATGTGTACGTGTATATTCAGAGTGGGTATGATAGTGTATACATGTTGAATGTTGAATTAAGAATGGACATCACGGCACTCGGGACACTTCCATAAGTGCTCAGTCCCCATATTTAGCAGCAAGCGAAGAGTTTTAATTTCGACGGTACAAGTAACCGTCTGATTGTATATTCCTCATCCTTCCCCTGAGTGTTGAGCGTCAGCCAGATCCCCTGGTAACTTCTCGCAGCACCATTTTCCTTAGACTGTAATGATCTATCTGCACCTCCGCACGGTTTACTCGCTCCCAAAGAGCTCACACAATATCTGACTTGTCATCAATTCACCAGCAAGTTGTGCTGAGCTGCTAGTCTATCTGCATGCTCATGTCCCATTACACCGTGGTTTGTGTGTGTGTGTGTGTGTTGGGGGGGGGGGGGGGTGCTCTTGCCCCTTTACACATTTTTAGGGTGTTTGTTCCCATTTCCTTGGGAACTCAAGTTTACTGCGTCTTCAGATTCTGACATCTTTCCAATGATATGCTTGCTAAGGGCATGGTATTGGGGATATTTTTTTCTATTCAGGCATAGTTTGAATAAACAGATATACAGTGCGTTACTTAAAACAAACACTTATATTATTTTCTGCCTCAACTAAACTTCATCTGTGCAGATATCAATGAATGTGATGAGCAGACCAGTGGCTGTGAACAGGCATGCAACAACACGATTGGTGGATTCATCTGCACCTGTCTAGATGGCTACACCTTACATAGCAACGGTTCTTGTGTTCAAGGTATGGTTGGTAATGACGTCACAAAACTTCATGTTTGCGACTGCTAACCCTATCTTATACCGAAACAGAGAAGCTAGAACGTATTCAAAACGTGGTCATGCGAGTCATTTTGGGATACGCTTTAACGAGACACGCCTGATTAGGTTTAGGTTTAGACAACGGATCAACATCATGGCACAAGGTTAGTAACCCGTAAGTGCTCTAGTTCTAACTCAAGTCTGCGTCTCAAGAGTCTCAGCGCAGTGCACGAACTCCGTAGCACCGGCGAGGATCCTAAAATACTATAGGAAGATTTTTAACCCTACATTTTGCCAAGGGATTTTTTTGCGTTCGCAACAGTACACACGGGCGTCCGATCTTACTACCCATAGACCAGGGGAAATTACTAGAGATCAACGTGAAAAAATCCCAACCCAGGACTTGTGGCACCCGAGGCTGACGCCATACCTCAAGACCACGCAGCCCCGAGGCACGCCTGTGTGCATGCGGCACGTAATTGCATTGCCATCGGTAATGGCTGGTTCCGAAGCAGAACTCCAAGAACTTACTACAACACTAGATACAGTCTGTGGTAAATATGACATAGCAATTAATGCCGAGAAAAGCAAGGTACTAGTAAACAGCAATAATAATCAAGTACCTACCAACATAAAGAGGAGGGGGGGGGGGGTAAAGGAAAGGGGTATGAGGGGGATTAAAAGTTGAAACCTTCAAATACCTCGGCTCCTACACATGTAACGATGGCAGCTGTAAGGGATCAACGGCAGTAGAATCCAAATGCATCTATTCAAGTGTCAAAGCCAGAAGGATTTACAGCAAAAGCTGGTGATTGCTGGATTTCATAATTTCCACGAGGGAGAGTGGGTGAGGGACACATCAAAATGCTTACCTGTTTGGTGTAAATTAGAGAAGTGTCGTCACAGGAATGACTTTCACGTTGATCTCCGAAAGATGTACCGGCCGTTTTTGTATGAAACTAGAGACTTCCTGGTAGAGACATTAACAACACAGTACCACGACTTGCCAGACTGAGATATTTCCCAAACATGGTTTTGGTTTCTGGCGGCTCAAGAGAGGTCGATTCAATATTCATCCTCTCTTACAAAAATAGGAAGTCACCGTGGCGTAGCGGCTAGACGATCCCCTGTGGGTCGGAAAGTCGTGGGTTCGCTCCCTGGCGGAGCGGGACTTTTTTTCAAAAATGACCTTGGCTTCAAGGTCGACCCAGCCTTGAGTAGGTATCAGGTACAGTCCTTGGAAGTAATGGCGGCCGGCGTGATTGTGACAACATCACTCATCTTGTGCTGTTGGTCTATAAAATATAGCTATAGCCCTATATACCCAATGGGCCTGAAATCCGTGGAAAAGGGCCCTTTACTTTATTACCGAAGTAAGGAAGCTATGTCATATAGTTCGTTACTCGTGTAGCTGGGTACACGAGATTACACAGGCAACTACCCTCTTCTTCTTCTTCTTCTTTACTGTTACATCACTCTTAAGCCAGATTTAATTCTTCGCTACACTAAAACAGAAAAATTATAGCAGCAGTTGACTGTTGTCGGCTTTTTAATTGCTTTATTTAAAATAGGAGAGGTATCACATTACTGTCAGTAACTAGTAAAATCTGTAACCGGATAATTCTTAAAGGAATGACTCAAGCACTTGATAGTATGATAAGGCAAGAGCTAGCAGGATTCAGAAAGGGGAAATCATGTTTTCATCACATCTTCACGCTGTGTCAAATATTTTAGCAAAGTAACGAATGGAATAGTGCAGTTTATTTGACCTTTGTGGATTTCGAAAAAGCCTGTGATAGCCTGCATGGGGAATCACTATGGAAGATTTTGCTTCACTATGGTGTACCACAGAAAATAGTAAATTTGATCAAAGCCCTTTACTTAGAGTTTCAATGCAAGGTAGTTTGTAATAATCACACAACAGACAGTTTCTTTGTCAATACGAGTCAGACAGGGATGCATACTATCCCCTTTTTGTTCAGTATGGCCATTGACTGGCTGATGCAGGAAGTTACACGAGATAGAAAAAGAGACATCAGGTGGTCATTCACCTCTGTTTAATTTTTTTTTCCCATTTTTTTAATGTGTGTTTTGCGAGTATTGTGTTTTCTTGCGCTCTTGTGATTATTGTCTGTTTGCTTATGTATTGTTAGTCTGTGTACATCTGTTGCCGTTTGTTTGTGTCTGTTTTGTGTTATGTGCAAAAACCTGAAAAAGAAAAACACAAGAAAGAAGGGGGGTATGTGGGAAGTCGGCCATAGAAGGGGTATGGCCTCTCTTTGGTTTATTTTACGGTTGTCTAATTCATTTTTGTTGATTAGATTGTGTGATAATGATATTGTCTTCAAATCTGGTACCATCTTTCCGCTGTTGCTTTGAAGTCTTTTTTTTTATTTCCGTCGTAAAATGTCCGAAGATTTGAATGTTCTTGTATTTCTCCTTTTTCGGAAAGGTTGTCCACGTATTTTTGTGCTAGTCCATCGATATAGTTTTTGTTGCGTCTATAGTAGAATTCTTCTTTTACGAGCATGTATTTCATAAATTCTTCTTCTTGATCTGGGTTTCTCATCTCAGCTAGCTCTTGTACGAAGTCCCACCATATCCCTTTGTCTCTCTCTCTCTCTCTCTCTCTCTCTCTCTCTCTCTCTCTCTCTCTCTCTCTCTCTATTGTTGGGTCATCCGTTCCCGTTCTTTCTGTAGTCTCTCTTGTTTCTGGTCTCCGAGGGGTGTCCTTCACCTCTGTTTAAGAGGATTTGGACCATGCAGTTGACATCTGCCTTATATCAAGTCGTCATGTGCAGGCCCAGGACAAGATTGAAAGACTTTCAACAACAGCCCTTAGATAGGACTCAAAATAAACACCAGTAAAACTAAAGTAATGAGAAATAATTACAAAACAATTATCTTAAATGAAGAAGTAATAGAGGAAGTTGAAGAAGTTGAATATATATCGGAAGTAAAGTTATTCCAGATGGAGATTCTGACAAGGATGAAACATCAAGAATAAACAAAGCAGATAAAGCATTTGCCATGCTTAACAATATCTGGAAGTCAAGGGGATTAAGTTTGAAAAAAAAACCTCAGAATATACAAGAGCAACATTTTAGGAATACTATTATACAACAGAAAATGACAGCGGGAAATACACATAAACTTGAGACATTTCAAAATAAATGTTTAAGGATAATTCTACGAATATTTTGGCCAAACAAGATCACAGATGAAGAAACGAGGAGGAAAATAGAATGTGCATCACTGGCAAATGTTATCAAAGTAAGACGATGGAGATGGCTTGGACATGTTTGCAGAATGCCTTTTGATACTCTGGTAAAAACAGCTCTCCGGTAGACAGCAGATGGGAAAAAGAGACGTGGACGAATTAAGGAAACCTGGAGAAGGACATCAGAACGGGAAATAAAGGAATGTAAACTGACATGGGATACCATGGGCAGAAAAGCAGCAGACCGGCAGCAATGGAGATCACTTGTGAATGCTTTATGTGTCAACAGTGACACGAAGAGGATATAGAAGTAAGGAAGCTATGTTATACAGTGTGTTACTCATGTAGCTGGGTACATGATATTACACAGGCAACTACTCTCTTCTTCTTCTTTATTGTTAGGTATATCACTCGTGTGCTAGATTTTATTCTTTGCTACACTAATAAAAAGAAATGATAGCAGCATTTGAATGTTGTCTGCTTTTAAATGTGTTCTTAAAAATAGGATGGAGGCTCCCCTTTTCTGTTGGTTTCAGATCCCCGCTACGTTCAGGTGTGTAGTCATGCGGACTGTCCCCAGTTGTGTGTCGTGACCAATGGGGCTGCTTCATGCACGTGCTATGCCGGATACAGTCTCGGACAGGACAACAGAACCTGTACGGGTGAGTTTTCTTAGATGTTCGTCTCCATGGTTCTGATTTACGTCACACTCTGTCACAAGCGAGCGTCTGGCAGCTTCAAGATGGCGTCTGTATGTATGTATATAAGCAAATACCTGTGCATAAATTTCCGCGTGTGCGCATGTGTGTACACATCGACGCGAGCAGCCTCCCTCCCCAACAGCCCTCACTAGGTTCTAGAGTACCGCTCCAAGCCAGTAGTTTTGGTGCAATCAACATTTCCTAGCTAGCATAATTGGCACAAGGCAACCAGACTACAATTGTAACCGATACTGCTGGCAGTAGGTTGAACGTGGTCAATTGTTTGTTTTGTTTTACATAAATAGATGGCCTATCCTCCGAATAACGGTCGGTAAAGATGGCGGCCACAAAATATCCTTGCGAGCCACAGTCACGTTTCAATTGCGCACTTCCGGCGACTTAATTTGCAGCTCTCCGGCAGTTTTCCAGCGACTACCGCCACCGCCAACGAGTACCCCACGCCGCTCGCGCGGCATGGATTGGGGCTAGATGGATAGGACTCACGAGCAAAGCTTTAGGAGATGCGGAAGCTGCTGCTCGTGGGTCCTAGCCATCTAGTTTAGCCCTAATCCACGCCGCGTAAGCTGCGTGGGGAACTAGTGGCGATGGCGGTAGTCGCCTGAAAACCGCCGGAGAGCCGCAAATTTAGTCGCCGGAAGTACGCGATTGACACGTGACTGTGGCTCGAAAGGATATTTTGCGGCCGCCATCTTAACCGACCGTTATTCAGAGGATAGACAATGGATGAATGAATGTCGGTTATGTACAAATGGTATTAGGTCAGCTAATTTGAAATTGTCCTCTGCCATTAGGTAAGGATTGTGCTGTGTGGATAAAGTACATGTTGTACTGTGTGGGTTAGGTATATGTTTAACTGCACGAGTTAGGCAGATGTTGTACTATGTGGGTTAGGTAGATGTTAAACTGTATGAGTTAGGTAGATGTTAAACTGTGTGAGTTAGGTACATGTTGTACTGTGTGAGTTAGATAGCTATTGCTGAATTAATATCTTCACAGATATCGACGAATGCCAGGGCAAGAAAAAAATCTGCAGCCATTTGTGCAAAAATACCGCAGGAGGCTTTCAGTGCTCCTGTTTACCTGGCCACAAGCTGGTCTCAGATGGAAAGACGTGTTTACGTAAGTTCATTCCCTATAATCTTTGAACGAATGAATAATGATTCTGTCAGACACATTGTGGAAACGACACCTTGTACTAGATTCATCGAGAACCAGCAGATCTAGTGGTCTGGTCATCTCGTTGGAATGCAGCAGCATCAGATAACACCACAGGCACTATTATATTTCAGAAGATCAGATACAGGAGCAAGAAGACGGCCAAGAAAATATGGATCGACAACATTAAAGTGCCTAAGGAAAGAAAAACCAACAGTCTGCATACAAATAAGTCAGGTTTGTAAAATAAATGTGCACGCAAAACTCAAGTTCTGGAGCAAGAGTAAAGTGCAGAAGTGGATGAACAACCAGAATTTTGCGCGGAGTTAACAACAGGTAGACACGAAAAAAAAAAGAAACAGATATCGATAATTTTAAAGTAATCGGTTGAGTCAAAAACTGACATCATAGTGCATTCCCATACTCGCTCCGTCCCTATCTTCAGCAGCCAGGGCAGGGTTCTAACACTATTGGCACCGCTCGCAATCTGGTTATATGTCCGTCTTGCCTTTCCTCTGAGTGTAGTGAGCTGGCCAGATTCCCTGGTTACACCCAGATGCCACATTCTGTCTAGGCCATAATAAGCTTGTTTCGCTTCTGACTCCCTTGCTTGTTCCCAAAGGACCTTGACCACATCTGCCTTGTCATGTATCAGTTCACCACCCAGTGGTGCAGATTCAGCCAGTCTGTCCGCCTGTTCATTCGCCACCACGCCGGCATAGCCTGGAGAAAAGATCCAAAGTATGCTCACTACCCGCGACCTTTCCAGTAAAGCTTGTCACTCTGCTAGAAACATCCCTGTCTCTACCTTTCTCATCATGCTTTCAGTCGGTTACAATTACGACATGTGTATGCATCTTGTTCTCTAGTCACAGAAAAAAAATGAAATGAAGGTAATCCTTATAACACTAGAAAAGATTTTAAGATAGGGTGAAAATAACATGACAATAAGACATTATAAGTATTTTCTGGATAACCATTATAATGGTAAGATACGATAGCAGGATACGGTTAAAGTATTGATAAGGCAATAAGTAAACAAAGTAAGGAGTAAGGGACCCTTTTCCACGCCAACAGGCCTATTAGGCATATAGGGCTCGATTTTGTAGACCAATCAGCACTAGATGAGTGATGTGGTCAACATCACGCCGGCCGCCTTTACCTCCGATGACCATACCTGCTACCCATTTAAGGCTGGGTAGACCTCGAAACCAAGGTTTCTGAAAACAAAAAAGTTCGGTTTTGTTCAGGTTTGAACGCACCACCTTCCACTCTCTAGGCGATCTTCTAACCCCCATCCCAAAGACAATAATACAGTTTAGATTAAGTTAAGATAAACACCATAACAGACTGATAAGCTAGCAAGGCAGGGTTCAAATAAAAAAAAAAACTGACAATACGTCAAGATTTGGTAACAAACATTTACCTTTGCGTTTTCTGGATATGCAGGTTGTCCTAACGGTTTCTATGGCCATAAGTGTAACCAGGTGTGTCGATGCAACGGACAGGGCAGGTGTGACCCTGCAAGGGGCTGCGTGTGCTTCCCTGGGTGGGAGGGCAGCAACTGCGACAAGGATGTGAATGAGTGCGACAGAAAGCTGGACAATTGCTCGTCCAGACAAGTCTGTCAGAATTCTTTTGGAGGCTTTTCCTGCACTTGCCAAAGAGGTTTTGAAAGGACCACAAGTGGAGCATGCAAAGGTAATTTTTACATGTGTCCTAGATAAAAGTAATCGTATACTTGAATAATGAGACATAAAATGTATACGTGCTTTCCGTGTGGGCTTCTTCTTCTTCTTTTTCTTCTTCTTCATCTATTTCTTCTTCTTCTTCTTCTTCTTCTTCTTCTTCTTCTTCTTCTTCTTCTCCTTCTTCTTCTTCTTCTTCTTCTTCTTCTTCTTCTTCTTCTCCTTCTTCTTCTTCTTCTTCTTCTTCTTCTTCTTCTTCTCCTTCTTCTTCTTCTTCTTCTTCTTCTTCTTCTTCTTCTTCTTCTTCTTCTTCTTCTCTTCTTCTTCTTCTTCTTCTTCTTCTTCTTCTTCTTCTTCTTCTTCTTCTTCTTCTTCTTCTTCTTCTTCTTCTTCTTCTTCTTCTTCTTCTTCTTCTTCTTCTTCTTCTTCTTCTTCTTCTTCTTCTTCTTCTTCTTCTTCTTCTATTTCTTCTTCTTCTTTTTCTTCTTCTGCTTCTTCTTCTTCTTTTTCTTCTTCTTCTTCTTCTTCTTCTTCTTCTTCTTCTTCTTCTTCTTCTTCTTCTTCTTCTTCTTCTTCTTCTTCTTCTTCTTCTTCTTCTTCTTCTCCTTCTTCTTCTTCTTCTTCTTCTTCTTCTTCTTCTTCTTCTTCTTCTTCTTCTTCTTCTTCTTCTTCTTCTTCTTCTTCTTCGTCTTCTTCTTTTTCTTCTTCTTCTTCTTCTTCTTCTTCTTCTTCTTCTTCTTCTTCTTCTTCTTCTTCTTCTTCTTCTTCTTCTTCTTCTTCTTCTTCTTCTTCTTCTTCTTCTTCATTTTCTTCTTCTTCTTCTTCTTCTTCTTCTTCTTCTTCTTCTTCTTCTTCTTCTTCTTCTTCTTCTTCTTCTTCTTCTTCTTCTTCTTCTTCTTCTTCTTCTTCTTCTTCTTCTTCTTCTTCTTCTTCTTCTTCTTCTTCTTCTTCTTCTTCTTCTTCTTCTTCTTCTTCTTCTTCTTCTTCTTCTTCTTCTTCTTCTCCTCCTCCTCCTCCTCTTTCATCTCTCTCCTCCTCTTTTTCTTCTCTTTCTTCTTAGTGCCTCTTCTTCATGTCTGCCTCAAACAAACATGTCCCTGTCGATGCAATTTGTCACACGTCACCATTTAGTTTTTTCCCCTCACCTTATACCCAACGACCCCAACTGGGATTGCGACCCCATCTGGGATTGCGAAGGGTTTTCTGTGGAATCGGGGGACAAAGTGACAATTTTATAAAGGGGGGAAAAACAATCATCAAGTTTCTTGCCGACCAGCGTGGGCGATCATGCCTTTCCAGAGTCTGCCATCTGCAACTGCGTTTATCAATTAGTGTGCTTAAACCCCTAAATGCCATGACAAAAGACTGTCAATAATCTTCTCACCCTGTCTTCCTATGTCTCTCTTTCCACAGATCTTTCCAGTTGTTACAACCTGTTTTATTTTTGCTCTTTTCATAACATAAACCACACCCAAAAAAGAAAAAAAAATGAAGACTGTCTGTTTAATGACGTTTGTGATAAGCTGTCTTCGAGCACTCGCCTCTTTCAAAACATATGTCTTATCTGTCCAATGAATTCTAAGGATTCTTCTGTAAAACCACATCTCCGAGGCCTCAAGATGTTGTTCGGCTTGTTTATTAATTGTCCAGGCTTCACAGCCGTATGTTACAACTAGCTCTATATAGCATGTGAGAATTCTTGTGCTAAATTACAATGACATGGATTTATTGCATAAAATTTTCTTAACATGCAGTTCCGGCCTGTCCTGGGTTTTTCCCCTTATCTCTGTATACATGTATCTATAAATCGGATGTTATCAATGTGCCTAAATACTTATATTTCAACAAAAAACAATACAAATACATAAACAATATATTTTCTTTGTTTTCAATTACTTTACTAAAAACAAATCTAATAATATGTAGGGTTCTCGGGCCACTTTGTTTATTGAAAATGGGGTCATGACTCGAAAAAGATTAGTAACAGTCGGATTACGTATTGTCATATTGTGTGACTATAGACACACCATTTTACCCATGCGTGCTTTCTTAGTAATTCCATGAGCATGCTTAAGAAGGTAGAGACAGGATGGGTTCGAAGAAAGTGGTTAAAATTGCTGAGGAAATCTCGTCTGAAAGCAGTAAATTTCATTTTTGTGTTAGGATACTCCGGTGTAAGAGGGAATGAACGAGTGGATTGGCTTGCTGGCAGGGCCACGATGGATACAGGAAAAGCAGTGGACCGGAGACAGGACGAGAAGATTATTCAGGAGACGACGTTGAATCGGCAACACTCAAAGGACTACAAGAACTTCATGTAAAAAAAAAAGGTGTCGCCAAACATGAACACTATACAGGTAGCCAAAGAAGAATAGCCAACCAACACAGAACTGGTGTTATTAGTCGCCACACACTGAGGGATATACTGAAGATGGGATCAGAGCGCTAATGGACTTGTCCGATGTGCAGTCACGATAATATGTCGAAAAACCAAATAACTAACAAATATTGTTACTTTGCGTCTGTTTGAAGTCTGAGAGTTTTGGAAGATATGTTCCAAATATTGTTTAACCTCACCACATTTATTGTGGGGGCAAAGAGTTAACTTCACTGCTAAGAATGCAAGATCTGGGGTGGGGTATTCTACACAGCCAGGCACGAGAGGCACACCGGTCTGGTCAGATTGTCAGCCGACATAGAACTGGTTCTATCATCCGCTGATGTATATTTCCAGGAGGGATGTGGGGGGGGGGCGTGAGGGGGAATCTGAGCGCATATGGATATTTCCGGGGTGTTCTGAAGATAGCCAGTCTCATAACTCTAACTCAGATTTCTTCATTTTTCAGATGTAGATGAATGTCAGACAGCCACCCATAGCTGCAGAGGTCAGAATGAAATGTGCATCAATACAAATGGCAGTTTTGCGTGCAGATGCAGGGCGGGTTATGCTCGTGGTCCAAACAATACATGCCAAGGTCTGTATGGGCGTTATAATAGTAGATTGATGTGTAGAGTACATAGATGTATGTGTCAACTAATTAGATTATGAAAGACATTATGATACACACTGGCTGAGCAACATCAGTCTTTACAAGTGTGAACAAAATATGGAGATCCAAGTTGCACAGATTTAGGACCAAATTGCGAATCTTCAGTTCTAACCTTATGTCCATTCTAGCACCTGCCAGCAAAAGTTGAAGAACCACCAGATATGGAACAGAAGTTACATGCATTTGAAAATAAATGCCTGAGAAAATTCATGAACCGAAAAATGGGATGAATTTTTAAAAAGTTAGGAGATCAGAGAAAGGTCTGAACAAATACCTGTATTGACTGCAAAATGACAAAGAAGGTGGAGAAAAACTGGGCCCCCTCTAAGACGAAATAAGCAAACCAATTACAAAACAAGCTCTGAAATAGGAAACAAACGATAAAAATTAAAAATAGAAGAACATTATTACCAGAGTCTACAAATTCTGGGCTGAACTCCGTGTCAGAAATCGAGAGAGTTGCATGCAATAGAGTGGAGAGTAGGAGCTAACTGCAAGCCCTGTTTGACGTCAAAGGATACACCCAGGATGATGATGATGATATGATGATAATGATGATGATAACGATGATGATGATGATGATGATATTAAATACATGACAAGATCTTGGCTCAACCCAATGACAAAATGTGTCAGAGGACGGCTTCCGCTTCCCACTTTTCTACATCAGTGTCATTAAGATGACGTGTTCGATATGAACGACCCTGACTGGTGGATCTGAAGCGCCAAGGTGATCTGCATAGAACAGTGATGGAGGGTGCAGAAAGCGACCACCGCGAAGGTAGAAACATGACATTGAAGATGTATTGGCTATGAAAGCACACAGGCCTGGGTTGGGTTGAGTTGAGTCAAGAATTGACATCGCAGCACTTGGGGCATTCCCATGAGCGCTACGTCCTCATCTTCAGCAGCCAGCACATTGTTCTAATACTGATGTCTGTCTTGCCTTTCCTCTGAGCGCAGTGAGCCGGTCGTACCCTCTGATCACACCCAAATGCATCATTTTCACCAGCCTATAATTATCTAGTTTCTCTTCTGACTTCGTTACACTTTCCCAAAGGTTCCTGACCACATCTACCTTGTCATGTATCAATTCACCACCCAGTGGTGCAGATCTAGCCAATCTGTCTGCCTGTTCATTAACCAGTTCGCTGGCGGGCCTGTAGAAAAGATCCAAAGTATGCTCACTACCCGTGACCTTCCCAGCGAAGCTCAAGTGTTTAGCCTGGGGTACTGACTAAGCAGCGGCGTCCGTGGCTAAGGCGGTGCGAGTCCGACTCGTAAGCCAGCATACCGCGATCGAAACCCACTGCAGGCTGCGTGGATTTTAGTCGTGGTATGGGACGTCGCAGGTCGACCCAGCCTAAAATGGGTACCAGGATGGGCTGTCCTGGGAAAGTAAAGACAGCCGGCGTAATGCTGACCACATTACCCACAGAGTGCTGATGGTCTGTAAAAATATGGGACGCTCTGCCCATATGCCCGATGCGCCGAAAGGCGTGAAAAGGGATCTTTACTTTACTTTACTTACTGGCTAAACAGACTTTCTTGAAGGCGTGCAGTAAAGAGAGCGACGTTCTGTAAAGGATATGCTGATCGATCTATTGATTGATTGATCAATAACTTGCATGTTTTTCTCTGTCTTCCAGATATTGACGAATGTAAGACCGGAGTTGACAAGTGCCAGCAGACGTGTATCAATGTTCCCGCCTCTTACAACTGTGGATGTTTTCCTGGCTACACGCTGGATGAGGACAGAGTGTCCTGTGTGCCAGGTATACCTCCTACATTTTGATATGCCAAGTTGGCTTAGACTTGTACAGTTTTTTAATTTTGTTATTTCTAGGAAGAAAAAAATGGCTACTATGCTGACCATTGTGTCAAAGAAATAGTGGACCGTACTGTTCAGAAAGCCGTGACAAACTATGAACTTCCCAAGTGCCTTAGGAATTACCTTCACAAA